GTCAGGCTCCATTGATAGCTGTTTGCTTTTGTCAGAGCCAGTCTTGGGCCAGCAAACATGTTAACACAAGTCGACAGCATTATAAATACTCAATTCTTACGTGGAACTTAAAAACGAATCTGGATGAAACAATTGGGCCTTTCCCAAGCAAAACCTGGATATACTGAAAAACTTGCAAATGATAGCCTCCACGCCAGTTCTCTCTGTCAGTCCCTACTTCTGAAATGTCCTCATCGTGCTCACTGAGCAGGGGAGAGACCACCTGAACCAAGAACCTCATTTCTTTGTGACTTAACTTTCAGAGACCAATATACCTACACTGTCACACTGGGAAGGAAGTTAGAGATCATTTACCAGTGTAAATGACCACTTAGGGTGTGAATGGCATTTGGGAAAATCTTTTCCTATGAAACTTTCCCGTGCAGGGAAAACAGCATCTTGGTCCCCTACACATTGATAATGCATCTGCCACTGTTGCTGTGACAACTGAAAATCACCTCTCCCACATTTCCAAACACTGGGGGAGACAAGGGTACAGTCACACTACTTTCAGCTGACAATGCAATTTGCAGGGAGGACACCTGGGTCTGGGCAGGGGGCGTGGCTTAGGAAGGGGCATGGCTTGCCTGAGGTCATAGTGCAAATTAGTAGTGAAGTCAGAATTTTACTGGGATGTCTCTTTAATCATCCTCCTGCTACTATCTATCTGTAAAGTATGAATTAACAGCAAATTAATTTACTATTCATGGTCGGTACTTGTGAAATTCTTTAAAGTCCTAGGCTAAAGATAACTATCCCAAATTATTATCTACTTATAGCTCAAGGCACGATCAGGACTATACATTACTGAAAAATAACTTAAATTGTCATCTGTTTTGGAAATACTTTCAAAAAAATAAAAGATCAAGGGTGGACAGAAGACCATAACTACGCCCAGACTGACAGCTCCCAGAGGGTGGGTCAGGAACATTCTCTCTACATGCCAGTGCTGATTGTCACGCCTGTCGCGAGGTTAAGTCAGCCAGTGTTTGTCCATCTGAACTGAAGCACGTGCCTGTTTGCATTTGAGCTGCTCTCCCAGATAGTTTTTCCAAAGGTATCTCTTGGAGTTTCATTTATTTTTACAGTGGAGGCTTCTGTTTAGGCTCCCCTGGGTTGTGGAGAGGAAACTGGACCTTCAAAAGTAGCCTAGGTTGAATGGAAACGTGTGGGAGATGGCCCAAACATGCCATCGGTGCTGCTGGGTGGGGTGCATAGAACAGGCGCCCTTGCCAGCCCATAAATCCCTCCCTCCCAGAAGCCCGAGCGGAGTGAGCAAGATGCTGCCTGCCAAGTGCTCTGAGCTGCCTGGAACAAGGTGCCGAACAAACATCAGCCTTATTATTGTTTCTAATCTGCAGATCTGGGCTCTGTGTCTGGAAATACAAAGAAAGGAATGGGGCTGGATAGGCAGAAG